GTGGGGGAGGGGTGGGGGGCATCACCGGGCGGATGGGATCGCCCCTGTCGATGTTGGGGCGCAGCCCGATGCATCATTGCCGCTTTGAGCACTTGCAGGTGGGGTGGCGCGTCAGCTGGGGCGGCTGCTGTCGCCTTGCGGTCGTCGCCCGCCAGATATGCGTGCGATATGCGGCAACAAGCGGCGCGCTCGCACATACGGCAGGTTGAGGCCCGCTACACAGCCGGCTACAGGCCACACGATCCGATCACATGCATTGCCCGCATATGTGGAGGGCTCTGCGCCACCGTCCGGCCCGCGAGGTGATCTGGGCGGTCTCGGCTACGGCCCACCTTCTTGCCACTGTGAAGACGCTCGAGCTCAAGCTTACGGGCTGCGCCCTCGTCGCGGGGCTTCAGGGCCAGGCGCGGCCGCTCAGAACGCTCGCTGGGGCCGTCCGCCATTGCTCTCTGACCGTGTTCGCTTTATGTGTGCTTGGGTTTGATCGTGGCTTTTAGGAAACCAGTACGGTAGTCATTCGACACGATGCGGGGGCATACATGCACAAGAACTCGTCCAGAGAGGGACTTCGGCAGTCACACGACGAGACCACCGGGACAAAACAGGCTGCGGTGCTCAAGCTGCAGAGTTGTATCACGCTGAGTGTTGAATTTCTACTCACATTTGCGTTGCCTGCAGCCTTCAGCACAAGATCATTCGTTCACTTACCTCTGATTGGTGCAGGTTCCTGCAACAGAAAGCTTAGACACACGTGACAGGATGCTGAGATTACTATCACACCAGCTGGCGGGCCCCTCGGGCAGGGGCGTGCAGCAGCAGCTCGCAGCAGGTGCGCTACTGCATGGCGCGCTGCGTGTGCCCCGGGGGCATGCAGGCCACAATGCGCAGCGGTTGCAGGTCCGCGCTGAGGCCCGACCCAATAACGGCGCCTCTGAATAGTAGCTGTGCACCATGCCACCTACACAGCACTGTGCATGGCACACCCAAGCACAACGAGCTTGTCAGGGTCGATCGATGCGTTTGATGCGACCGAGTTTGCCTGCTGGCAGGGCAAACGCTGGTGCGCGGGCGGGTGCCGCAGGGTGGTGGTTTTCAGGACGTCTGCATAGCAGCCGGAGCTTGATGCCCGGCCGCTGCAGTAGTTTGGTGATGCGCGGGCGGCCGTGAGGGCGAACCTCGCAATCAGCCCCGCACTGCTGGTAGCACGCACGCCAGCGCTGGAGTGGCACGCAGGCTCGCGCGTGACGAAGCGCGATGTGAGGCGCTCGGGGTCTAGCTCCTGCTCATCGACCTGGCAGCCAGCAGCCGGCAGCCAAATCGCTGTTGGGCCCCTCACCCCCCCTCGCCACCGATTCGCACGCGCCGTGCAGGGCCACCAAAATGCAGGGCGGGTCCACCAAGAACAACACGGACAGCAAACCCAAGTATCTGGGCAGCAAGATGAGCGACGGCCAGATCGCGTTCCCGGGCCAGATCATCATGCGGCAGCGGGGGATGAGGTTCAAGGCGGGGGAGGGCGTCGGAATGGTGAGTCAGCGCCCTGGGCCGCAGCTGCCGCTGGCCCCATGTTGCCCTCGCTCTCACTGTGTGCGGGGATGGGCACACACACTCGGGCTAAGGGTGCCGCCGTGGCCCGTCGTCGTCAGAAGTGACCACCTGCAAAATGGAGCCTGCCCCTTGCCCACCGCCGCCCCCGCTCCGCCCCCCTGCCACTGCCGCGGCCCCTCGGCGCCGCGCCGCCAGTCTGTCGACCACACCCTTTTCTCAAAATCGGTCGGCATCATCAAGTACGCCCGCCACACCGAGCAGCTGCCGGGGCGGCCGCCGCGCGACGTGCGCCTGATCAGCGTGGTGCCGCTGCAGGGGGACTACAGTGAGGGCTACAAAGACAAGGCGCTGCGCATGGTCGCGGCCCGCAACGCACACCGGCAACGGCTCCTCGGGCTTCGGGCAAAGTATTGATGTTTCGAATGTGGTGCTTGAGGCGACATGTAATGGTGTGGTCTTGGATAAGCCATGGCCGTGCTTCTCAGGCATGTGTTCAGCTTGGGAGCAAGATAGCAGGAGGCTAAGCACATGGGTCAGCAAAAGTCAAATCCATGGCCATCTGCGTGGCAGTACCGCACAGTATGATGGCCCGGCCATGGACAGAACGCCCAATATCAAAGGCGTTGCCTCAGTGGTCAATACCATGGCAGCTGATGGGCCGAGTGGGCATGAGATGGCGCGAACGCCTGAAGCAGCAGAACAGCACTTGATGACTCAAACAGCGGCACACGGGTGGGTGACGTATCAATGACATATGCAGCTGTCGCCCATCAACACAGCGCTATCATACTTTTGATGCACCGCCAAATGCCGTACAGCGACTGAAAGGACAACGCTTCTCAGGCCGAAAGCCAGATCTGCCTGCTCCGGCGCAGAGACCTCTAGTCGCGCATTGACACATCAACGATTGGCCAAAATGCTCCGCTCTCCCCTCAATGGTCGCAGCAGCGCAGCGGTGCAGCGGCGAAACGCCTGCGCTGCTGCCGGCTGCTCCCACCCGGTCATAGCGCCGCGCACAGCCGCGAGCAGCAGCCGAAATGGATGCGCGGCGCGCGCCAGCAGCGACGAGCCCAGCACAAGCAGCAGCGGGTCCATGCCCGCCGCGGCGGCAGCGGCCCTGGCGGCGCTGCTGCTGGGGTCGGCCGCGCCGGCGTGGGCGGCGCTGCAGCCGCAGGTGGACGTGGCTGAGCTGGCGGCGGTTGCCGTGGAGGACGATGACTTTATGGACCAGTACGACCGCGACATGGAGCAGCTGGCAGAGGTGAGGGCGCGCGGCCGCGCGCACTGGCTTAACGCTGGTTGATGCAGGGGCGGATGCGTGGTGGGGCGGCCGGTCAGTTGGGATGGCCCCCAGAGCGCTGGATGGCGAGACGCCGGCGCGCATGCTTGTTTAGCACAATTGCAGCTTGGAGCAGCAGCGACCTGGCGCGGCGCAGTGGCACGGCGCCTGCCGCGCGGCGCGTCGTGCGCGGCGTGCCCCTCGCGCCGTGTGCTTACGGGGCCCGCCCCTGCGTTGCCCCCCCATCACCGCTCCGCGGCGCGGCAGTCTGTCGACCCCGAGGTCGCGATGCCGCCGGAGCTGCAGGAGTTCCTGAGGCTGTTTGAGAGGGTGAGAAAAAGAAGGGGGAAACTCAAAAGAAAAAGAGAAAAGGAGAGGGTTAGCGAATGGCGGCGCGCCGCCCCTCTCCCCACGGTTTCCGCCATCGACAACCACAGCATGCCCATGAATTCCATTGGCGGCATTGGGGGCGGCCCTGAGGGGCCAGCCCTGGGGGCACTGGCAGAATGTTTTGTGGGGGCGGGCAGCGGGAAAGAAGAGGGCGGGGAAGCAGTGCATGATAAGAGCAGCTCAGGGTTGTGCCGCAGGCTGCAAGGACTCAGCCAATTGCAGCCCGGCTGCAGCCGCGCCGCTTCGATCCCCAAAAGCCCGCCTAGCTGCGCTGCATTTAAATTTCACTCACACATGGCACGCGCACACGCACACGCACACACACAAACACTCTCCCTCATGCTCTGCCCAGGGCACGCCCCGCGACCTGAGGAAGCTGGAGGCGGCGCGCGAGAAGGTGGGCTTCCGCCGCGGCGCCGACGGCCGCGTGTCCCTCATCAGCGACGGCGGCGAGGAGTTCGCGGTGAAGGCCGACATGCAGGCCCCCGGCTACCTCCTGCTCAGGCGCGCTTAGGAGGGAGGGGGCAGGGGGGCTGCTGAGGCCAGGGCACACCAGGCTAGGCCGGGGGGCCGTGGGCGGGTGGGCGGGTGGGTGCGTGGGCGGGTGGCAGCAGCCCGGCCAGGGGTCCACACTCAACCCTGGAAGCCCTGAGCCGCGCGCCATCGAACCAGCCTCTGATGCGCCCCCCACCCCAGGGACGACCGCGGGTACTGCTACTACCTGCCCCCGGACCCCTCTGGCCGCCTGGCCCAGATCGACCTGAGCGACGACGTGCTGGTGGCGCAGCTGTTTGCCAACGGGCTGTGGGAGGAGGTGCTGGAGCCACTGGAGGTGGTGCGGGCGCCAGAGGGTGAGGGGGGCGGGGCCGGGGGCGAGGGTGTGTGTGTGTGTTTGGGGGGGAAGGTGTGGGGTGTGTGTGTGTGTGCGCGCGCGCGCGTATGTGTGTGTGTGTGTGTGTGTGTGTG